ATGTGTGCTGGAACAATACGTAAACCTGGGTATCCAGGGGTCTAGTTAATTCAGCCAGGGCTAAAAACAAATTATTTTCTAGTATGAAAAACAACCCCACAAATACTGATATCAAAGCTAAATACAAGCAATATCGAAACATTCTTACAAAACTGTTAAAATTGGCAAAAAAACGTTATTTTAAATATAAATTTATTTCCGCAAATGGGAATACGAGTAAGATTTGGATAACAATTAACAGCATTTTAAATAAATGCAATAATATGACAACCCCTCAAAGTCTTAAATCACGTGATGCTCCCGATAAAGTTTTGACAGGAAGTTACGATATTGCAAATGAATTCAATAATTTCTTTACAAATATTGGCCCTGAGCTAGCTAGAAAAATTCACCCATCTGTAAATTTTAATCACTATCTCACAGGGAATTTTCCGTCGTCTTTTTTCCTCCAAGCAGTCACAGAACAGGATATTATGAAATTTATTTACCGATTAGACCCCAACAAAGCAATGGGACATGATCATGTGCATCCTAAACTTGTAATTGATGCTGTAAAGTATATTTCTAAACCTCTGGCGCACATTCTGAAATGTTCTATAGCTCAAGGTGTTTTTCCTGACTCTCTCAAACTCGCCACAATCACACCAGTATATAAAAAGGGATCTGCCCTGGATGTCGGCAATTATAGGCCCATATCTATTCTACCCGTATTCAGTAAAATATTTGAATCAGCTGTAAATCATCAGCTACTTGGTTTCCTAAATAAGTTCAACATACTCTTGTCCTCACAATATGGTTTTCGGAAAAAATACAGTACCGCCCTTGCCCTAGTTGACCTTGTTTCTGATATCACTGCCAACATGGACAACGGTTTTGTTACATTTGGGGTATTCATTGACTTAAAAAAAGCATTCGATACTATTGACCACAATATTCTCCTTAAAAAACTGGCTTATTATGGGATAAGGGGTCTCCTGCTTTCGTGGTTCCGAAGCTACCTAACTAATAGACACCAAACAGTAAACATTGACGGAACTGCATCCACACCCAGACAGATTCAATACGGGGTGCCCCAGGGATCAATATTAGGGCCTTTACTTTTTCTTCTCTACATAAATGATATTAACCACTCTACTGATGCTTTTATTTTCCGCCTCTTTGCGGATGATTATTTAAATTCCTGCAAACTAACTCTATTGATCTTTCTAATATTAATAATGATTTTGAAAATGTTGTACAGTGGTGCAATGCTAATAAATTAACAATTAATGTAGAAAAAACAAACTATATGATCCTGAAAACCCCGCAAAGAAAAGTAAAAGTGGAGGGACAGCCCGCAATCAATGATACGTTGATAGAGGGCGTGTCTAAAGCCACTTATCTGGGAGTAACCATTGACCCATGCCTAAATTGGAATTCTCATATTGAAAAAATTGTGGAAACCATTAGTCCCAAAGTGGGCATTATATCTCGCATTCGTCACTATTTTCCCAGATCAATTCTCATCCTACTATACAACACACTTATTCTCCCACACTTAATGTACTGTATTGAAATCTGGGGGAAACACATACCCAACACTTCTTGAACCAGTTCTGCTCTTACAAAAAAAAGTTGTGCGCCTTATCACCTTCTCGCACTTTAAAGCACATTCTGCTCCTCTTTTTATCCAATTACGCATACTTGATATTCACAAACTTTGTAAATTACAAACCTGCCTATTTATCTTCGACCTTAAACACAACAGATATGCACATAGCCTCAATAAATATGTTAATGATTACCCACATTGCTATCCCACAAGTTCAGTGTCTAGCGGTAACTTGTCAATTCCTGTTGCTCAACTTACAGTTTCACAACAAGATTACCTTTTAATTTTCGTTATGTAAATAGTAATTTTCCTTTCCTTTACCAGTAAATTGTAAATATCTACTTGACAGTTTGGGCCATGGACTGGACTAGTCCATAAGGACTATTTCCATGGTCCACGCCGGAATTACTACTATTGTATTTTGTTTATGAGTTCTGTTATATGA